TAATAAAAATAAAAAACATACACACATAAAAAAAAAGACCCAGAGCCTCGCAGCCATTTCTACCCAGGGCCTCTCATGCTAAGCTGCCTGCCCCCTGCACTGTGGTCCTGACATCTGAGCCAGTCCTTACAAAGGAGTTCTAGGAATCCTGGTTCAACCAATAAGATGGGGAGGTTCCATGTCCAATTGGAGGGATACCCTCCATCAGGATCTTCACTGAGCCATCAGACAGGCTCCATTGTGACCAATCAGGACAGTGCCTTTTGGACAGATCAAACTGCAAGGATTTGGAGTCCTTATTTGCATGAGAACAGACCAACAGGGAACAGGGGTGGAGACTTCAGTTCACATAAGTCAGCTCCCAGCTGGCTTTGAGAGTGTTTTCCCTTTCCACCAAGGACTGGAGACTGCCTAGCCCTGGCTGGACCTGAAACACTGGAGATGAAACACTGTAGGTGTCTTGCCAGACTGGGCAGAGCTGTCTAACAGGACAGGGATGTGGCCCCAGGGCCACCAAATAGCCTTCCCCAGGCATGCCGTTCTCCAGAGGTGCTACATCACAGTTGAGCATTTGCACTGAATAAAGTTTCCTTTCTTACTACACTACAAACTGGGGATTCCTGCTGGCGTCGCGTTAGTTCCACGCACCATTGGTTGACATGGGTATCTAGGGAGCAGTCCCCATAATTTGCTATATGGACAGGGGATGGAAGCACAGAAACCAGTAGCGTCAGATAGAAATGCCACATTAAGCGAAGAGGAACTAAGAAGGGGGAGAGGTCTCCTCACGCAGGTCAAGAGGTGAGAGGGAGGGTGGAACCCAGGAGGAGGCAACATTTGAACTTGGCCTTGGGGCGGAGTAAGAAGCTGGCTCAGTGGAAGAGTGAGGAGGGTGGGCAGTCCTGGAGCTCGGGGACAGGCAGAAACTTTGGAGCCCACGTGAGGCACATGTTCTCTTAGGGGAAGTAGGACATTAGGGGCCAGACAGAGGAGTTTGCCCCCATCCTGAGACCCTGTAGGCCGCCGTTGGAAGTGGGGGCTGGCGTGGATCTGGAATTTTCCTGGATTCCATTACAATGACCGTGCGGCACAGGGCAGTTCTCCAGATGAGCTCATGTGGAGGTGGGAGTAAACACGTGGTCTCCATGGCAACAGTGGGGCCTAGTTTGGGAGGTCCAGCTACCCCTCTGAGAGCTGGAGGCCTGCCCTGAGGAGCAAAGCGGCCACTCCTCATTCCTTGGCCGTGACTCAACCACGCAGGGGCAGCAGGGGCTGCTCGCCATGGGGAACCCCTTACAAACCCCAGAACTGGCTAAGGGGCAGGCAGGGGTCCTGAGAAAGCCTCAGACTGAGAGGTGGGAGGCCCCGTGGAGCACCCAGTCCCACCTGTTCAGCCTCCCTGAAGTCAGAGGCTCTTGCTGAGGGCCGGAGGCCCATGCAGGACACAGGGATGCAGACAGGGGGCAGCAGAGGCTGAGAGTGAGGCTGGGCCGGGTTGGCCCTTGCAAGGCTGGGCACCAGATGACAGGCAGGGGAGGTCAGATGCTGTCCAGGTCCGTCTTGCTGCTGCTACAAGGAAATGGCCTTGAAGATGCCACCTGGCCCTGACCTCGGGCCCCAGTGCCTGCCTCAGCCTCCCAGCCTAGAGCACCTGGAAGGGCTGCACTCACCCATCTCACCAGAGGCTCTGCCCTCTTCATTTGCCTCCTTGGAAGCTCAGACATCAGAGGTGAGAAGAGCAAGGTAAGAAGACTCGGGACCTAGAGACCAGTAGACCTGAGAGCTGGCCTTTAGTAGCTGGCGGGGGGGGGTCTGGGTCTCCTTATTTGGCCCCTCTGAGCCACCGTTTCCCCACCTGTATAAAGGTAGACCCACCCTCCTATCCGGGGACCCACGGACACGGGCCACCTGACACAGGGCCCGGCACTCAGCACCTGCTCAGTGAAGAGCCGGCCCCACTGTAACTGCAGGTGGCTCCCCAAGCCTCCCAGCGCCGACCTCCAGGATTGTTCTGACCAACGCCCTTCAATTGACATTATGCTCACAGTAGTTCAATTGTGATTGTTCCCAGGTCTTTCTGACATGGGCGGTGCTTCATATATAAATGCACAATTTAATTAAATATGTAAACCAGCAGTCCTCAAACTGTTTAGTAGCAAGGTGCCTTTACACTCCTAAAAATTACCCAAGATCCCAAAGAGCTTTTGTTTATGTCATTTACGTCTACCGACACTGTATTCAAAAGTGCAGCCAAGAGACTTTAAAAACCACGAATGCACAGACACAAGGTTGGACAGGCTGTGGCCCCTGGACACCGTCCCCTGGACATGGCTGTGACGGGTGGATCTCCCCAAAGGTCTGGAGGGTCCCCAGCACCCCCAGACCACCCTTCGAGGACCACCGACACAAACTAACGAGCCACACTCTGAAGGCCAGGCAGGAGGTCTCTGAAAGTGCGAGCACAGATGGAGGAAATTCCGTGGGGCGCCCACCACCCAGGCCATGGGGGACCGTCTCAGGCAGCTTGGCGGGTGGTTCCCACTCTCAGGCCCTCCGAAAACCAAAACCCAAAACCAAAACTGACGCCTCCAAGCTGCCCCAGAATCACCCCACCTGCACACTCACACTCAGGGAAGAGGCTTTGGCCCTTTGATCAAAAGACAAATTAATGAGCCTTAAATGTTTTAAGTAAAATGTTTAAGAAGTGTGTACGTGGTTAGGGAGGATTCTCCAGTTTCCCAACATGCCCAGTTTACTCTGTAATTACTGACACTTGGAGAACACCCCTCTCCCATCGCCTCTCCCGGTCGGCACGGCGTGAATACCGGGTGGGAGAACTGCCCAAGGAATCAGCAAATGAGCCAGCGAACCGTCCCCCCATCCCAATGCCCAGGGCCTCGTGCAAAGTAGATGTTCAGAAAATATTTGCCAAAACGTCAGTTTGACTGTTTGTCCATTTCCCACCTGGAACACGTCCACTTGGTGCCTTTGCAACCCTCGGGCAAGGCTGAGCCCAGGGGCAGCCCGTCCACTTCTGCTGTGACCACCCGAGAGCTGACGCAGCAGCTTTGCAAATGAGGGGCATGGAGGGGAGCAGGGTGCCACCAAGGCTGGGAGGTCTGGGGACAGGGAGGGGCTTCAGGAGCAGGGACAGGACCCAAGTCACAGAGTCGAGCTCAGCCTGGGACCATCAGGCATGACCCACGAAAGGGAGGTGAGAGGTCAGCTCCCAAAGCCATCCCTGGAGCTCGAGGCTGGGGCCAAAGGTCACTGGACCTTTGAATCCAAACGTCTGAAGACAGCAGTAGGCCTGCCGGTGGTCAGGGCCGGACCCCACACCCAGACTCTCCCCTCCTGCAGCCCCGCACGGGGCGTCCCTGGTCACATCTCAGCCCTTCCCTCCGGGGCCTTGTCTCTCTCTCACCCGTCACCAAAGGGAGTAGGTTGCCTTCACAGAGAAGGTGAACACCGCGTGCGGGTAAGATGTTGAACCCCCTTCCGCGACTCCTGCACACACCGGGGACGCCGCGGAGAGAGAACCCACCATGAGGGCTCGTGACAGCAAGCAAGGCCCTGCGTGCTCGGGCACCCGCCACGGGGCGCACATTTAATTCTGGTAAATAGTGATAAAAGCTCAGCATAACTGCAGGTCACTGCTCCAGCTCACGGGGTGAAGGGCAAACAGCCCAGTCCAGTCCCACGCACGGCTTCGCAGAACACAGCGTCTCTTGAAGACCAGGTTGGGAGAAACACTCCACTTCCCTTAGGTTTTGGGTGACAGGTTCAGGGCCCCCCACTCCGCCGTTGACAAGCTCGAGCCTCGGGCAAGAGAGAGCAGGGGCATCCGCCCTCGGAGAAGGGCCCCTGGACAGAAACTGCGCCTTGGTGGCACCGGCGGGCACAGAATGGGCTGGCCGGCGTGTATAAAAGGACCTGTCTAATAAACCAAATAATATTGGAAATAACACCGTCCGTGATACTTCTGTAAGAAGCAGAATGAGGCTGCATGTCACTCGCATGCATAGGAGTATGTAAGAAAAGTCCCCTGTAGTTACGGCGGGGGCGGGACAGCAACATACACAGTGAAAATGACAAGTTAGCTGGCAGAGACGCCGATCCGTGAAAGGGCTGTGTCCAGAGCGAGCGGCCTCGTCACCCACAGAACGGAAGGGAACCCACTCAGAAAATGCACCCTCCCTCCCCCACACGCACGCACACACACACCGTGCTGCAAATACACACACACACGCTGACGTGATGTTCCCCAGTGCACGCATGTGCTCCAAGTGCCGACTGTGATGGAAGGGCAGGGGGCTGTCCCTGAAAGCGGGTGTTGAGGACACACAGCTCCTTCAGTAGCGGAAAGACCCGGGCTGTGCCCACACCGAGAGCCCTCCGCACGCCCTTGGACGGGTGGTGCGTCCCACCTGCGACGGCAGAAAGGCGAGGGCTGTGGCTGGAGGCTGGCCAGTCCTCGCACCTGCGAGTGCCGATGGGTGTGAGGCTGTCGACAGTTTCCGACTCGGTGTCCAGGACCGTGAGTGGGAGCTCTGGTTCGTTCTTGGGAAGCTCCCCCGACAACACGTGAGCACACAGCATCAACGGTTCCCACCTGGGGCTGTGTGCTGAGGGTCCTCCGTCAGTCTTTGTCCATCAGCTCCAGGAAATGACAAACCATTAGCCCATCCATGGAGATAGCAAGCTGCCAGGTGGCCCAGCAAGGTCCCTACAGAATCCCAGCATGCCACACTAGGCCCCAGGGCAGCTCATGCGTTGTGTTTCTGAGTCAGGACAGGGGCATCTTGTCATCTGTGGATGGAGTCAGGGCCGCTGCCAGGTGTGGCGGAGCAGGGAGGGGCCACGGGCTCACCCAAGGGGAGGCAGAGCAAGGGAGGCCGGGGCGGCCAGACCGAAACTTCAAGTTCCCCCGGTTCCATGGCCTTGTGCGCAGGACGGGTCTGGCTCCCCAGATGTCCAGGAACCTTTCAGCGCCTTGAAGTTGCTCAGTCACCCCTTCAGCTACAAATCAAATGCTATTCCAATTATAAACCAAACAAGCTCTGGAGCACACTTCTAAAGAGGCAGGAGAGCCTGTTTAACTCTCTACATGAAACCTAAGTCCATGAAAACAGAATGGGAGGTGGTCCGAGAGGCAACAGGGTTTATCTCTGAAGGGAATGAAGGGCTGACTGTGGAATAAAAGGCAGTGCAGGGGATGAAAACACTTCCATCCCTGCCAGGTGAGTACTGATCCACAGAGTGTTCCAGAACTGGATGTGAGGGGGGAGCGCTGGCGGGCCCCACGGCATGACCCCGAGCACGCTCGGCTGGACCCCAGAACAGTCCAGTGTCAGGCCAGGGGGTCCCCTCCCAGCTCCCGGAGCGGTGCTCACCAGCCTCACCCCAGGAGCAGGGGCCCCCGGCCAGGAACAGAGGGCAATCTGTCCAGCAGGGGGGCTTCTGGCAGCCTCGGGCAGAGGGGCGTCGAGAGGGTTGGAGCTGGCTGTTCAAGGTCACAAAGGAAATTCTGGACGGTCATGATAAACAAGAGCCTGGGAGGGAAAGAAGCCTCGAATTCAGGCTCTCTCCTCACTCTGAGTACAGTGGTCCCCCTCAGAAAGAGGCTTATAAATCGCGGTGACAGCAAACCCAGGCCAGCGGTGGGAGCCGGCCTCACGTCTTCTTCCAGGTGAACGCCTCGTCGGCCAGGACCTGCGCCAGCCTGGCGTTGAAAGGCTCGTAGAAGTCCTGCAGGATCCTCTGCGTGACCGGCCACATGGGCCCCAGGCTCCGGTCCTCGGGACGCCGGGCGTTGGACGCGGGGCTCTTGGTCATCAAGGCCTCTTGTTTCTCACTTAAGGGCCCTGGAAGGGGAAGAGAAGAGGCCTGTGAGGCGGGAGGCAAGGGCGGGCTGCAGAAATCCCAGCTGTGCTGCAGGCTGAAATGGGAACCCCCCCCCACTCCCACCCCAGAACGTGTCTGGTGATCGAACTCCTGGGCCGGACCCACCAGGGAGCTGCTGAGGGTGGACCGTAGATGGAGCATTATTCCAAAGCCGCAGGCTTCACGGCCGGTGTTCGGTGCCCCCCCGGGAGGTGCCCTGGCACTTCAAGCTGCCACCTCCGGGAACCTCCCCGCCTGGCTTTCTCCCCACTGCCCACCAGTGTGGGCTCCCATGGCGGCCATCAGCTGGTCCCCAGGCCCCTGCACAACCAGCCAGGCACAGTTGTGTGCAGATTTTCCGACTCACCAGCCCACTGTCACACCTACTTCGGGCTGCACAGGGGACCACGGCAGGGCCCTAGCTCACCCTGTGTCTTGCTGTGAAGTGGCCGCAGGGAGGGGGGGGAGGAGGGCTGTCTATGCCCAGAGACCCCACCGGCTGAACCCCACCTGGGAGCAAGCCAGCAGGACTGCCGCCCGAGGCTGCACCTCCGCCCCGGCCCTCGGGACCGTGAGCCCCACACCAGCATCACTCGCCACCAGTTCACTGCCCAGGCCTCCTTGCCCCAGGCTCTCGGGGTCTGGCCACAGCCTCCAGCGTGTGGAACGGAAGGAGCAGAACTGGCCTAATCGAGCATCTTGGGGACTAAAGACAAGCTTGCTCGTGCTCAAGTCTGCAGGGAGCCAGACCAAAGAAAAGTGGGCCTCGGCCTTCGAAGAAGGTGGTCCAGGCCCATTTCAGCACCTGCTCTCCGGAAGTGGGAGGGAGAAAGTCAGACGACAGAAGGGTCCCTCGTCCCGGCAGGGCCCAAACGGATGTCTGGGCCCCAGAGGCCCGGGAGCCAGGCCCAGCAGCCTGCACCCAGCCCATGGCTCGAATCCCAGGGGTCCCCCAATACTTGAGACAATGCGATGCCTCCCACAGGCCCCAGGGCCTCGGCAGGACGGTCCCTGCCACCCCCCAACATGCAGTCCACCCCCAAGGCTCAGTTCACGAACTATTTCCCTCCACGGTCCCTTCAGCAGCTGGGACCCCGAGTCACCTGGATACACCCATTGTGACCACACTAACCATCCCCATCATCCTGCCAGGTATTTGAGCCACAGTGTGTCCCCTCCCTCCAGTGGATGGCAGGCTCCCAGATGAGGGGACGTCAGTTCCTCCCCAGGGACCCCCCACAGACACACCGCCCACAGGCCCAGAGAGCAGCTGGTGGCTCACAGACAGAGGCGGAGCGGCCTCCCAGCTCCGCCGGCCCTGCCTGGCTCACAGAGTCTGCCTGTGACCCCACGAGTGTCCCGCACGCGTGGCACTCCAGTCCGGCGATGCTCGTACCGAGGTTGAGAAATTGGAAGACCCGGTGCATGGTGTGCTTGACGTTGGAGGCGTGGTCTTCCAGGCGAAGGACCAGGAACTGTTCTTTCCTGAACACGGTGAGCCAGTCCAGGAGATACACAGCGTACAGCCCCACCTGCAGCCGCACCTAGGACCGGAGAAGGGGGCGGGCGTTACCCCAGGAGCAACCCTGCCCCCCGCACCATGTGGCACTTTCCCCCAAGTGTCATGGCACATCCTTATAAACCAGCCCCAAAGACTGGCTGATCCTAGCAGACAGCTGTCTTCAGACACCAGACATCAAATGCCACGCGTTCTGGCCTCCTGTGCAGACTCCCACTTAGGGTGGCACATCATCCTCATGATGGCCCTGTCAGCAGCCCCGCGACACATTTCACAGTGAGGACTGCGATGAAGAGGCCAGTGGAGGAGCCCCCACAGGCACAAATATTCTTTGCACAATATCCCGGCTGTCTCTGCTCCTGTGCCCAGCACACAACGGCCGCGAAAAACACCTACAAACCCCTCAAAGACAAGCCGGGTGAGGGAGCCGCTGCCGCCTTGGCCGCGCAGGCCTCCAGGCCCGTGAGGGTGTGTGCACATTTGAATGTGTGCACAAGTTGGGGGCTGGGGGACAGTCCTTGTCCTCCTCCTGGGCCATCCCTCGTGTCAAACAGCAAGCCTGGCTACTGAAGAATTAACCTCACCCAGAGAGAGGCCTGGCCTCTGTCTCCAGCTCCTGGAGGTGACCTCTGGGCCACCCAGGACGTCCTGCCTGATGTGAGGGTCTTTGCTCAGTGGGGGGACCTGGCCGCTGGCCAGTCCAACTCCGTGTGTTTTGACAGGGCCTTTGCACCACTCGGTATCAGCCTGACCTCCAGGAGGGACTAGAGATGGACAGCCATCCCCGGGGCAGTATGTTATGGGGCCCCAGCGAGGACTCTGGACACTGAAGGCCTCGGCGGGCCTCCCCGGTCAGCAGCACTGTGAGTCCTGGTCACACCCGGAGGCGGGGAGGCCTTCACACTGCGCTTGCCTCAGGGGACAGCAGAAACTGCAAGTTTGGACACACCCACCGAGTGCTCTTTCCCTTGGCTGATTTCAATCTGTGTCCTTTCCCTGTTGAGAGCCGTAACCATGACTACAGCCTCTACCTGGTGTGTGCTATGATTCCTCCCTGAACCTGGGGGTGGTCTGGGGGACCCCCACCACTTACAAATGCTGTCAAGAGTGACAGCAGTCTCGGGGTATCCCTGCTAACTTTGCAGCTGGCCCTAGGCTCTGGGCAAAGCTCCAAGAAAGAGCAGCCCCTCCCCTCCCACGAGAAGCCCCTCCTCCTAACCCTCACCCCAGGGACTCAGGGCCCCTGCACCATTCCCGTCTCCCCTTTGCCTCCCTCTAGTCCACCCACCTTGGCTAGTTCAGTGCCCCATCAACACCTGCCTGGCACTGTCACCTGACTTACAGTCCCATTTCGTCCCTGAACGCGGGGCCCTTGTGCTGAGCCTGCCTGGTCACCCTGTGTGGAAATCCAGGGAGGGGCCTGCAGGCCCAGCTCCCCAGGCCCCGCCTCCCCACTCAGGCCTTGAGGCTGACACACTTCGGCATCACACTTCCTTTCCTTCCTGGCTCCACCTTGCGCTTCTCAAGGGCGGGGACCACGGCTCTTCCCTGTCCCATCCTGCGGGCAGCCGCGGGCCCCAGTTCCTCGGCCTCGCTGCGGAACTGCTGAGCACCCGGCAACAGCCAGGCAGACGACGGGACACCACAGGGGAGGCCACCGTCCCCCTTTCATCACTCCTCTAACTGCGTGGGGATCCACAGAGGAAGAAAAACAATCGGAAGGTAAGCCGCCCCCAAACTCATCAGCTGCCTCCGGCCCCCAGGCTGTGCGCAAAGAGACCTCACGCAGGGCACAGCCACCGAGAAGGCGGACCTGCAGCCTCCAACCGAGGGACCCCCAGGAGAACATCCTCTTGTTAAGTCATCAGCTTTGCAGAGCTTTTCAATCCTCTCTGAGCTGATAAGCTTTATCTCTTCCAGAGAGCCAGCCTCTGCTACTGGAGAAGTTTCTAGAAGGACAGGAGCTAGGTGTTTGTGACAGGATGGGACTGTGTAAGGTAGTGGCAGCCTGTCCCTGACCTGGCTCTGGGTGACAGGACATTTCTCTCGCCAGTCTGCTTGTCAGTCTAAGTCACAGGGCCCGGGCCAGACATGGTTTTCCTCTCCCACACGTCAATAACCCATCAATCCTTCCTTAAGTGGCACAGCAGCCTGGTAAACTGGTATTAACACACCCACTTCAGTGAAGCGATGCATCTCAGGGAGGCCAAGACAACTTCCCAGAGTCACACAGCTAGTAAATGCCCGACCTGGGGGCTGAACCCACACCACTGTCCAGCCCCGAGGACCACTCTTCCTGTCCTGCACCCCCACACGAATCCTGTGGTTACCTGTGCCCTTGTTGCCGCTTCCCCGCTGAACTAGGACCTCCAGCAAGGCAGCCTGCTGTGCCTGCCTCCCCATGGGTGGCCTTGATTACAAGGAGGAGGGCATAAAACCTGTTGACCTTGAACCCCACACACCTGTTGGGGTTCCAGGCCTCCGCCTCAAGCAGATCTGTCCGTGCCTTCCCACATGACATGACCCGCAGAGCAAGGCCTGTGAACCACATCCCAAGCAGGTGGCGTTGGCCTCACAGGAGAAGGCTCACTGGCTGCACCGGACCTGCCAGAAAAGTGCCTAGGACAAGCCAGCATGCTGCCCGGGGGGCGGGACATCCCTTAGCTAAAACCTGCCGAATTCACCGTTCCCAGCTTCTCTGGCATTTAAAAAAAATTTCTGTACAGCTATACAAAAATGTACAACTACATTCCTAAAGGCAAACAAGAGAAAAGAAAAGAGAATATTTTTCCATCGAGACCCTGTCAAAGAGGCATTGGAAGTCCTGGGTGGGTAATTTTTTCAACCAACAAAACAACCAGCCATTGGAGAGAATACGAAGACAGCTTGAGAGCTGGGCGTCCGCACGTCTGCCGATCCTAATTGCACGGTGTGTTCTCAAAGCTGGCTAAATGCTAATCTTCCCAACAGCACCCCCCTCTCCCTCAGACCGAGGAGAGAGCCTGCTCACTGGGAGATCAGCAGGGAAGAAGGCGGGGCGCCAGCTGACAGGGCCCCGCCGTTTTTCACACTTACACACCCATGCATATTTGTTTTTGATTAGCCATCAGCTCAAAGGCTGGGGCGGGTGGGGGGGGAGTCCATCCCACATTAAAATGCCTCTCCATGTTTATATGCTAAAATCCCCATGCACGACCAGTGGCACAGTCACCACAAAGCTGCCCGCCCGTCGTGGGGCGAGGCGTCCGGGGTACGCACAGGCAGGGCGTTGCTGAGGGTGTTGTTGTAGACGCAGGAGCGCAAGGAGTAGTCCAGCATGCAGCTCTCGAACAGCTGCAGGGCCTCTGTCACTTTGTCGTGGAAGTCGTCTGCAGACTTGTTCGAACTTGCAAAGTAGAGATAGTCGGAGTACAACCTGTGAATAAAACGGACAGGTGTGTCTACCACGCGAGAACAGGAAATCACACTACTAGGAGAGAGTAACAGTGGAAATCAGCGCGAATGACCTGATCCAGTTTCTTCCATCAAAATGCCGGCATTTCTCTTTGTTCCCTTGCAGACCAGCCCCTCCCCACTGCCCTTCCTGCCCCCTCCCTTCCACCCCCCTAGGGCCACCCCGGCTCTCCTGGACCCGTCTGTAGGTGCCCCAGACAAACCGCCACTGGTGTCCTCCTTTGTTCTTTCCTGCCCCTTCAGTCCATGGCTGTTGTCACAGTAACCGAGAACTCAAAACAACACCAGATTACCGAAATTGTACAACAGAAAGAGGCCACAAATCTTATGCTTCTTCCGGATTCTCCCTCCTCTGTCGGAGGCAAAATGAATGAGAACATCTGTGGCTCTCGAAACACGACAATTCTGCCCGAAATTCCCGGCCCTCTCCACAGGCACTTGAACATTAAAAAGAACATTACAAAACGTGTCTCTCTGGATGGATAGGGACCTACTTTTTAACACAACGCACGGACACGCCCAGGCGTGCACACACCTGGAGGCCTGTATGCTCACCACGCGCAGACCTCTTCCTGCAGACCCCACCACGCGTGTGAGGCAATGCTGCACACAGGAGCTGACGGGCTCTGCCTGACCAAACTGCTCCGGCTCCTCCGAACCTTCCTCTCCACTAGGCCTCAGCTGGTGGACTTGGGTGTCCGTCTTTGCCTCGCCCAGAGTGAGCCAAACCCCGCCCCTGCCCTCCCCATCTGATGGGCTCCTTGCCCTCCCCCACCCCTGGTGATGCCTGCAGGAAGAAGCCTGCTAGGTTCCCCAGGGCCACCTTCGTTACTTGTTTCTTAAATATCCTCCCAGAAATTTTCCATGCACACTCCAGCCCGTACCTGCCTAGTTAATATTTTTAGAAACACAGATGCATCGACGGCATCTGATGACGTATCTGTTACTGTGGACCTTTTCTGATCGTTTAATGACGGGGAGTTCTGAATACCCATAAAAGCAGAGAAGAGAGCGTCCTGCAGCCAAACGGAACGTTAACCCATTGCCACCCAGTGATTTTTTTCCTCTCACAGACCTGCCCAGTTGCGAGTTTCCTCACTTTGTTCTCCCAGTTTCTGGCTGTAAAAAGAGTTAAATTCTTATCCCTGTTTTGGTATTCGAAACCCCCCACTTTGCTCTGTCTTGTGCCTTTTAATGCACCCCCGCTGTGCCTGACACCCTTGGCACACACGGCACCCGGCCGCCACGGAGAGCCAGGGCTGACCGGACGGGCCCCAGGCCCCACGTGCCAGGCTTCTCTCCCCCCTCGGCTACATACTCTGCTTCCCCAGCTTCCCCGACTTGGCTCCTCTCTTTCCATTGAAGGCAACTCAGCCCATCTTATTGCCGTGCGTCCCCACACGTGTGGGGACGTGACACGTAGTCGGCCCACTGCGCCCAGCACCTCCGCCGTCCCCAGCACCTGCGTCGTCCCCAGCCCCGGGCCACATCCACTCCTGCGGAAACCGCCCAGCGCCCTTGCACAGGTCAGCGGCAGATGGTCCTTGTCTGGCACCCCTTACATCTAGCAACAGTCAGAGTAGGCTACAAAGGTTCACTAGTCATGAGAACATCGATCGCTTCTCAGGGACCCCATCTCCTTCCCCGAGGGCCCTGGCACGGCGCTGTGACACAGCCCTGTGACACAGCCCTACAGAAATCAGCCGCAGCCAGTGCCCACGGGGGCCACTCTGAGGGGGTCACTGGATGCTTGCAATCTGCCCACAGATCGTCTTGAATCCAAACACCCTAGAAGGGGCTTTGTCCACCTTGGCTGGTCAGACAACTGCTCCAGGGGCATTCGCTTCCAGAGGGGCCATTAGAGAGGCTCGGGGACTGGGGAGTGGGTCCCCCCCAGACCTGTGCTCCCCAAGCACAGTGTTGGCACTCCACGCACCTGCCCTTAGTGTCCCCAACACCAGCCCTGCCGTCTTGCCTCTCTGACAACAAGACACCCATCGATTCGGAAACACAATGCCTGTCACTGCAGGTCAGTTAGAGTTAGCAGGACCTCAGAGGCTGATGGACGGACGCCCAAATCATATGTGCATGGGCCCCAAGGTGCAGTTCCGCTGTGCTGGCCGAGGGCAACGGCACGGCTGGGCACACTTCCGGCTCGCACCATGGATGCCGGTCCTGCCGGGGTGACTCGACCCAGGAAGGATGCCCGTAACAAGGTACCAGACAGATGCCTGTAAAACTGTCGTCGAAATCTGTTTTTATTTCTTTTTTTTTTTTTAATTTTCAGAGCAAGGGAAAGGGAGGGAGAAAGAGAGGGAGAAAAACACGGATGTGAGAAAGAAATATCAGTCAATTGCCCCTCACAGGCCCTGCCACTGAAGACCCAGCCCGCAGTCCAGGCGTGTGCCCCGACCGGGAATCAAACTGGCGCCCCTTTGCTTGGCAGGACGACACTCCACGAACTGAGCCATGGCAGACAGGACCCAGAATCTGTTTTTCACAGGAAATCCAAGTCCAGAATCCCTACCAGGCACTCCCACAGAGCTATCTGCACTCTTCGGGGGAACTGGAATTCCATCATATAAATCACCACCCAAAACTTAAGCTTTCCATACAGAGAGTTTATTTTGTGGTAATAGCATTTCTTGTAGACATTTGGCTCATAAATAAAACAAGAATCCCTAAAGCTGCCTCTACTTTAAATAAAGTAACTTTGTGAAGAATCTGCTGATCCCACACAATTCTTTGGAGACCAAGAAGGACTTCGGGGGAAAAGCTGGGACGTGCCCAGTGTTTCAACCAGGGAAGCCGAGCTCCACTCGGCTGAGACGACTCATCTGCATCTGTTTGAGGGGCTGCGAATGAACTCAGGACTCCACCTGCTCTGAGTCAGGTTCACGGCCTTTCAGACCAGGCCAGAATGAGGCCCAGTGTCCCTGGTACCTCGGTTGCCCCGGGGACCCTGGATCTGCCCACGGAGCGGGCAGTGGACCTCGGGCTTCCCTAAAGCCACCTCATGCTGGGGTGCGTGTCTGTAGGGACAAGTCCTTCACGCCCCACTTTATCAGCAAAGGTCTGAACAGGAGCTTCATTCACTGAGGTGATGGCCGCCTCCCAGGTGGATTCTGTGGAGTCCCCAACAGATATGCCCAAGTCCTCTCCCCTGTCCTAGGAATGGGTTCTGACTTGGAAATAGGGTCTTTGCAGGTGTCATTATGTTGTACGTCTTCAGATGAGATCGTCCTGGATGTAGGGTGGCCCTAAACCCAGTGACTGGTGTCCTCCCAAGAAGAGGAGGGGACACAGCACGTGGGGAGGAGACCATGCGATGACAGAGGCAGGGACTGGAGACAGGGACCGCCAAGGACGGTCGGAAGCCACCGGAAGCCGGGGAGATGCACGGAACACACCCTCAGAGCCTCCGACCTTGCTGACACCTCGGCGTGGGACTTGGGAACTATGGAAGAACATATTTCTGTTGTCTTGAGCCACCACCAAGTTTACAGTCATTGGTGCAGCAGAACCTGGGAGAGCCACAGGGATTCGAAACCCAAATTCACAGAAAGACTGCGGAGCTGTCCTGGTTGGCACCTCTCTCCCACCCTGAGCCCAGCAGGAACCCTGACTGTGCAGGGGGCCATGACCACATGGCCAGCTTTCCACAGGGACACAGGGAGGAGGGCAAAAGCAAAACACAAGCTCTTGTTTCCAGGGGGCATGTTGGGGCCCCCTGGTAGAATTAGGTTAATGCTTTATAAGACTGTGTGCCATTAACAATGCCAGGATTTCCCCACAACTACCCTCTGGGGGGAAAGAGTCGGTGATGGCCTGGAATGAGTGAGAGCCATTGCATTGATGGGTTAAAACTATTCCGAAAATACCAAGAATGGCAAACGTATCAAGGATAAGTATCCACATGACTCCAACACCTGGGGCAGGCAACTCATCGAAGTTCAGACGTACAGACATAAACACAGACGTCGATGTTTTGTCTTTCAAATCAACGATGCGATGATGAAGCGGATGATGAAGCTGGGGGAGAGGCCCCCGGGGAGAGCACACTAAGGGTTTAGTTGGCACAAACTCATAACAAATCGTCACGGGGCCGCAGGCGCACTGATGCAGCCTCAGGATGCATTAACAGAGGCCAGGCACAGAGTGTGGGAGGGTGTCCCTCTGCCACACACACCTGGCAGGTAGGTGTGGGGAGCCACAGTGAGGGAGAAGGGCGGCTCCAGCCGGTGAAGGGCGCCTCTCCAGAGCTGGGAGATCGGCCCCATACCCCTGAAGGACGGCCCAGTCAATGGAAGGTTCAGGAAGAAAGGCTGGTTCGATTCAAGGGAAACTGTCTCAGCTGGGGCAGTCCAGCATGAAGTGAGTGACCCCAGCAGCAGGAGCCCCCCCGGGCTGGAGGGGATGAGGCCCTGGGCAGAGTGAGGGCCCTCGGACCCTGACACCTAGCCAGCCCCGAGTCTGGGGCTCCTGCCGAACCACCTCATTTTCTTACTCGGAAACCATCCCGAACAGATGGGTGTTACATTTGGCCTAGACTGTTTCCAAGAGCAATTCCAAATATAAGTCCAAACGCATCCGGGGCCTTCTGTGCTGCAGTTATTTTAGAAGGCTCCTTGAGGGGTGGCGGGCTGAGCCGGCATGCCCGGCCACGTTCCTGAGCATCTCTGCTGAGCGCAGCAGGGTCCCAAGGGTGCAGTGGGGTCCTGGGGGCACGGCGGGGTCCCAGGGCCCAGCTCTCCTGAAGGGTGAGAGTGGACGTGTGCGTTGGGGGACCTCCCCAACCTGGTGTCTCTAGAAGGGACCACACCTCTCCCCACAGGGACAAAAAAGTAGCCACCAGCAGAGTTTGAAGTCACCACATGTAAAATGTGGAAGGTTGCCCATGGCCATGACTGAGTTCGTTCATCGGCACCGACAGGCGTGGCTCTGAGGCTGTGTGCGCAGAGG